TATTGACTTTATTGTTTTGTGAATCGCTTTGATGCTTGTTTACAATCAAGCGGTGGTTGGATTTCATGAAATAACCAACTGGCCAAACGGCGACCCATGTTCCCCTCGCAAAGAGTCGGGCGTTGACGCTATCTTATTTATCCCCCTCCCCCCGGCAGGGTCAAAGTGGGGCAACCGCGGGGGTGGCAATGCGGGGTCCAGGCCCCCCTTCCAGCAGCGCCTTTCGATGACCAGGCAGGTCAGCATGGAGCAGCCCAGTTTGCCCCGCCAGGGGGCCAGCCCCAGAGCGAAGGTCCTGCCGACTCAGCTGAATCTGGATTTCATGAACGTCCCGGACCAAGGCGTGGCTGGGTGAGCGAGCTGAGTTAGACGGTTGTTGGACGTCGCACCTTCCTGATGCTGGACTGAGACTTTGCTTCTCTCTTTCTTTCGCACTCTGGATTACAGAACTAAATCTTGCCTTCCTTCTCTGATTTTCATGCTCATTGCCTCCGACTCCTTTGAGCTTTGCCCAAACCATTTGATTGACAGTTTTAAGGTGACCAGTAGACTGCAAAAAAACACCTCCACCCCAAAACCAGAAAAACATATTGCCTTAAAACTCAGGTCTTTGGCAAGCTCAGCAGTTTGCCACTTTGCCGTGTATCTCAGGTCTTTCCTGTGTGTTTCCTTACTCTCTGGGCCAGGAAAGGAGCCAGTTTGTGGGGACGCGGGTGGCGCTGTGGGTTAAACCACAGAGCCTAGGACTTGCTGATCAGAAGGTCAGCGATTCGAATCCCCGTGACGGGGTGAGCTCCCGTTGCTCGGTCCCTGCTCCTGCCAGCCTAGCAGTTCGAAAGCACGTCATAGTGCAGGTAGATAAATAGGCACCGCTCTGGCGGGAAGGTAAAGGGCGTTTCCGTGCGCTGCTCTGGTTCGCCAGAAGCAGCTTAGTCCTGCTGGCCACATGACCCAGAAGCTGTACGCCGGCTCCCTCGGCCAGTAAAGTGAGATGAGCGCCGCAACCCCAGAGTCGGCCACGACTGGACCTGATGGTCAGGGGTCCCTTTTCCTTTTAACTTGCATATTTCGTTGTTTTAAGGACTCTCGTTTAGGCCAGGAAACCTGCAGCTGTCCCATAATGGTCACTCACCGTTGGCCATGCTCACTGATGGGTCTGAAGGGGGTTGGACTAGATGGGGCCTGATCCAGATTGCCAGGCTGCTCTTACGTCCTTGTGGAAACTCCAGGTCCAAAGGCAGTCTATTGAGAGTCCTAAGTTCCAAAGGGCATTTGGCCACTGTGAGGACAGGATGGTGACCTGATCCAGAAGGCTCTTAAATTCTCAGGAGTTGTCATTCAGACCCGTCTGGAGGGCCAAAGGCTCTCCCCGCACCCCAAGAGCTTTGGAGAGGGCCTTCCTTTCTGGCTGACGTTGGGATGTGGTGGATCATTTCAGCAGAATTAGGTGGGAAAGGAGGAGAGCTTCCCTTTGCTCCAGTCCCGACGCTGACCTCTCTTTTCTCCAGCCTCCAGAGGCGCCTGTCCAAGGAAACGAAGCCCATCCCAGGAGGAGGCCGGGCCAAGCCCAAGCCCAAACCGAAACCTCAGCCATGCCTCCCCCAGTGCAGGGCCCTGTACGCCTACGACGCCCAAGACACAGACGAGCTCAGCTTCAACGCCAACGAGTTCATTGAAATAATCAAGGAAGGTAAGCTTTTGGGGGTCTTTTCTTGGCGAGGTGCGTGTGTTGAATGGACCCCGTTTCCCTGCCCAGCCTTGAGTTCAGCGGCTGTTGCCCATGATAGCTGCTGGAGCCTCCAGGTTCAGGCGCAGTCTAGCTCAGTGTCACATCCAGAAGCGAGATGGCAGATGAGACGGACCCATTATGGCCTGCTCTAGCGAAACCACTCCTGTATTTTTTAAATAAGGTCTACCCATTTTTCTTAGACATCTGGAGGGCACATTAGCCAGCCCTGGCTTATTCGTTTATTTCAACGATTTGTATGCCACTTAATTGCCGGGATTTGGTTAAATGACCCTTTGGGTCCCTACATTTCTATGAATTACAGGTGTTGTACAATGAACTTAATAAATAAGAGAGAAAATCAGAAATGACTTTAAATGCCTGCTGGAAATTTTTTTAAGGTGGCTTTTAAAAGACAGTGGGGGCTGTCTAATCTCAGACAGAAGGTCCACAAAATGTGGTTTCCGCAGTAATGAATACCTGGTGCCTGGCTGTATCTATCAATTGTAGATGATGACTGCCTACAGTTTCTGTCATCCCTGCCCCTGTGTTAAGTGGAGGTGATGGGAGCTATGGCCCAAAAACACCTGGAGCTCCCCATGTTCATAATCTCCGTCGTAAGCTCTCGGAGGCAGGTGGAACCTCTGTGTGCAGGGGCAGTCTAGCAGAGAACCAGGTGCAGCAAGCAGGAGTGTGAATGTTCTGCTTCTGGTGTCCTCCTATCTGCCGGCTCCTTCTGGGAAATTCGGGAGCTGTATGGGACTGACTTCTGGTCTGATCCAACGGACCTCTTCCGATATCTGAGCTCCTGACTCTTATTCCGCCTGTTTGCAGACCGTTCCGGCTGGTGGCAGGGCCGCATCCGTGGCAAAGAAGGTTTGTTCCCGTGGAACTACGTGGAGAAAATCTGAGGCGGGCAGACGACTCCCAGCGTTCTCTTCCTAGACTGCCCCCCTCCACCAGCTGCTGTGGACTTTGCAGGCTAGAGAAGGAACTTGGGCCAGCAAAAAGAGCTGCTTCGTGGCTTGGGAGACACCTGCCTTTCTCTGTTCCATTGCACAAGGACAAGGGGTGTGTGTGTTTCTTTTTTATATATAAACGGCTGCCTTTGAAAGCCATGACAATGCCAGCATGGCTGAACTCTGAAATCAAGAACAGGGTGGGAAAGCGCAGGTCTCCCTTTTTACCCCTCCAGTGGAAGGCGTTTTGTCCGTGAAAACGGGCAGGTTTTTGTTTTTAAGCTTCCAAGCAAGAAAGCCTGTTCAGGGGGAGCGGTTTGCACTCTGCATATGCACCATGACTGTACGAGAGTCACAGGAGCTCCCTGCAGAATCCTGCTGAGGCCAAGAAAGCGCTGGCATTTAAGCAGGAGCGGGACCACAGCACCTGCGTGCGAAATAAATTATGTGCATCAGGAACCCTTTTCTGTAAATGGGTTTTATTTGATGAAAATGTGGGTCGCTGAATCCTGCCTAATTTCTCAGCAAAGGCCCTGCCCTACACCCCTGCAGTGCAGTCCCCGTACATTTCCCAAACGGAGGGGGGGTGAGTGTGTGGAATGGGGTGGGGGTGGGGCATTTCATTGGTTCTACTTTGGGAACCAGAGCAGGTAATCTGGGATTACAAATTCCATGAAGCTTTGGAGGATAAATTGCGAAAGCTTCTTGGAAAGACACGTTGCCAAAGGGCTCCTGCACCTTTTAACAGCCGAGGAAGGAATTTTCAGCAGGTGTGGCGTGAAGCGGGGACTGCACAGGCTGGAATTACCTGTTCTAAAAGTGCAGGAATGCCGTCATGTTTTTGTTCCCATCTGGCTACCTTCGAAGGATCTTAGAATTGGGAGTTGCAAGGTCTGGAATGGCTTTGTGGTTGCAGATTGCAGTGCTCAAAGTTGTAGAGAAAGGAAGTCTATGAGTTACATTTATTCGTTTATCTACATTAATTTTTGCTCTCTTTGGCCAAAACGGTTCCCGGGGCAGCTTATGTAGGATCCATAAAAGCAAGGCAGCTATGAGAGAGGGGGTCTTCCTGAGACTTCTGTTTTCAAAGGCTGCGTCTGGAGAATCCTGGTGTGTGTGTGTGTGTGTGTGTGTGTGTGCGCGCAGTTGCCCTCATGCCCTGCTGATGGGCACATGACAGGGGTTTCTCTAGCCACTGTGGCAAACAGTGAAGTGCACTTGATGGAGGTTTGATCTGATCCAGAAAGACTCCTTAAGTGGAAAAAGAAGGGGGGGTGCATACTGGGAGCAAATGCCTTCACTGGGACCATCACTGGGTCACCCCAAATTCACCATCAGATCACATAGCATGTCCATGGCTACAGCCTGCACCAAAAAAAAACCCACGCACCCACTGTTTCGTGGGGCCGCAATGGCGCAAAAAACGTGGTTACAAAGCACGGATCCACATGGATTCTCAGGATTTTTGCATTGGGCTACCCCAAATCACATGTCAAATCACATGTCTGTGGCCACAGCATGAACCACAAAAATCATACATCCACTGTTTCGTTCAGAATATTTCTTTTCTTGTTTCCCTCCTCTAAAAACTAGGTGTCTTATGGTCAGGTGCATCTTATAGAGCAAAAAATACAGTAATCGCAGACAGGACAAAATCATGGATTGGAAGGAGCAATGGGGTCCCTCGAGACATTTTGCCCACTAAGACGTCTCTTGGCTCTGTTTTTCCCTTGTTGGAAAAGAAAGCCATTAGTTTGAGTGAGCCTTAAATAATAAAAAACTTCCTACCCCGGACAGGAGGACACACTCAGAGGCGACAGGCCCACAAACGGCGTCGCATGTTGAAAGCCCTCCGCAAAGCCCGCTTGGGTGCCACACGGACGTTCTCAGTGAGCCAGGTTTAGCTCCAAATTACACGTTTCCTTTTTGAGACTTCCTTCGACGTCAGGACGGGGTTTATTACTCAGCCGAAGCCACAAAAGATGAGCTGAGTTAGTTCACAGAGGGAAGCAGGTGGTGAGAAGGTATTGTTTTTCAATCCTGGCCCGTTCGCAGCCGCCCTGGGATGGCGAAAGGAGTGTATTGCCTCTGAACCGCCACTTCCAGATTTGCAAATTTTATTGCTCGCAAATTTTTTCCTGAGATGCGGCGACTTTAAAGAAAGCTCTTTTGCAAAACTGTAGCTGGCACCACAGCCTCATGGAAAGCAATGACAGGATATTTCTTTCTTGCCCCCACTCCCTCTTGTGGAAGGAAAGGAGCAAAGGTAAAATCAAAGCACCAGGGATTAATTTCAATTAAGACCAGGCCTGGAGAGGGGTTAAACCACTAGAAGTTTTTAATTGCATTATCAGTACAGTGAAAGGAGTTAACCTGAGAGACTTTTTCAGTGACCAATTTTTTTTTTAATGTAGCATAATATTCAGTTCACAGTCGTGACCCCCCTGAACCTCCCATGACCCTCCGTAGTTTTTCACCTGCTAGAAAACAAATATACAGAATTCAGAATCTTCTTTTTTGTTTTTTGTTTTTTAAAAAGCCCACAAGATATACCTAAAGGCACTGAAGTGCGTGCAAGGTAAGAAAAGAAAGGGGGGGGTTAGGTTTGGAAGTCAATCTTCAATAATTACAAAGCAATCGATTCTCTTCCGTAGCCCCTAAAACGGTAAGAAAATTCTATGAAACATCATTTACACTTTCAGCTATTTTCTTTTTAAAAAATCTTTTTTCTTTAAATTAAAAGGGGGTGGGGTGGAAGATGAGTTAAGTAGGTGTTTAACAGAGACAAGAAGTTGCCTAAAATAAATGAACATGTTTTACTTAGGAGGAGGAGGAGGAGGAGGAGTGGGACAGGGGGAGAACCATCAGGTGAATAGTTAGGAAGCTAAGTTCATCATACAAGATTCATGGGAAGGAACTAAACAGTACTGATCTTCCTCCTCCTCATCACCCTCAATTCTGCTCTGGTGAAACAGCTTATTTCCAAAAAGCATCCCCACATAATGGTAGAGTGGATATGATTATTTTTTAAAAGACATTATGAGGACTGCAATCACATAGCTGATGTTACAGAAGTTCTGTAGGGGGGAAAAATGTGAATTTATTGTCTGGCTCCCTCTCCAGCCCTTATGTTGGATCTCCACTGCATTTCCCAAGCTGGACTCGAGGAGGAGACAAATAAGACAGAACAGAATCCCATGTCCCTGCTAGAGTGGAAATCCCACCTCTCAAATCTGCACCCACCAGGATTGTGCAAAGTACCACTGAACATCTGGGGCTTTGAGCGTGCAAGCTGCTGCACCACAGACAACCCACACCCTTACTCACTTCGCTAACCACTCAGCCCCTCTTGCCTTGGCATGTTTACAAGGAAGTAGGATCCCATATGGGTGCCGGAGGACTGACTTACATGCAGATTGAGGAGTGGGGTTGAGACCCATTGCGGAAGGTTGCCAAAACCAGTTCTGGTGCTAAGGGGGGAAAAGGGCATTAAAAGCAGATGGTGGCAGAGAGGGCGAGGGGAGCATTCGAACTCGGATCCGTAGGTCACAACAGCAGAGTGCTCTGCTCATCCTGCCCACAGAATCTACAACTCCACTGCCAAAGGAGGAGGAGGAGGAGATGGGGAGAACCAGATGGAGCCCAGTTCTATGAAGAGCCATCTTTCCTTCTTAAGCAAGTGTGAACACAGTAATGAAAAGCGTCCATTTCTCTGGCCTACGCTCTTGCCTGGAAGGTCTGGTTGGGATTAAAAAAGTTAAAACAGTCTAAAGATCGGAAACATAACTTTCAGCCACCCCACCCTTCTTCTTCTCTGGCTCAGGGATGGGAAGCTGGTGGCCCTCTAGATATTTAGCTATGCCGCTTACTGCCTGAATAGCCCTATGGCCAAGAGGTGACAGAGGCCTAAGGCAGTCAGATGTTGGGAACTACAACTCCCATCAGCCCCCAGCCATCTGGAGGGCGCAAGGTTGGCAAAGGTTGTTTTAGAGCCGTGTTTCCCCAAGTGTGGTACCTGCGCCCCAACAGGGGTATGTGAAAGGGTTTCAAAGGGTACAGAGATTTTTTTTCCTTTTACTTTAGCACAGGCTTTTTTTTTTTAAGCTGCAAAAAAAAATTTCAAAGATTAAAAACATTATTATTAAAACTACACCCAACTTATCTTCACCCGAGAAGGGGCAAGCCAGGAAAACTAAACTCTCAGGAGGGGAGTGCGGTTATTTTAAGTTTGCGAAACAGTGACTTAGACGGGCCACAGTCAACTTCTCCCTGCTCTAACCATTTGACAACTGAAAAGGGCCTCCATCTTTTCTACTTCTCTAAAACGAATTTAACGGATGTGCAAACTAATATTTTCAGAAACAGGACATTACAACACTCATTACCTTTTTCGTTTTTCTTTTTAGTTAAAAAAAAGTGTATGTTAACAGATTTGTTTAAAGGACACACGCTGGGTTAATAAGAATTAGTGACGAGTCAAAGACAAATAAAGAAAATCCAAGTTACTAAAATAATCACTTGTGCACATTATTTTTTTAAAAAAAGAGATCTACGAGACTCCCTTCCATGGTTTCCTTTTAGACAAAGCACAAAAGTACCCCCTCACAAACCTTTACACATGATCTGATTATGGGAGGGTGTTTTTTTTTAAAAGCACAGAACTGCCGCTTTTCAAACCTTTATTGAAATATGAAGCTGGAGGCTCAATGTTTGTTAGAATAAAGAGGCGGCATTGTATGCTGTTTTCTTGGTCACAAAACCTCGGAATGATCATCTACAGAAGGGACTTCAAGTTCGTTCTGGAGGCAGTGGGGTTTTTGAGGTGGAGGGTGAGGGCAGAGACTCAAGATCATGATTAATTGCTAAATCAGCATGATACAGACAAACACCCCCTTTGGCAGTGAAGTTTGTCAATACATGATTAATGCAGCTGATCCAACCGCCAGGGGAGGCTGGCATGCCATTAAGTGTCGACAGAGAGGATGGGGAGGTGTGCTATATATTTGCACAAAGGTTTGATTTGTTTGTTTTAAACACGGGTCATTGACCTTAATCAAGAGATTGACTGGACTGTCCATCGTAAAATTCTCTCCTGGGAGAGCCCCACTGAAATTGGACATGAGTGGTGGAAGAGCACAGGATTGAGGACGGGGTCAAGTGATGCCTTCCTAACCCTTTTGCAATTAAGGGCAGAAATGGGGCACCAGCATTTTATGCAAGGGGGGGGGGAGAAGTGTGCAAGCGTTTGAATCCCCCAGCTGTAGCTGGAAAAGTTACAGCCGTGTCCGTATCCCTCCACCTGGGTAGGTCTGTTGCCACGGAGACATGTATCTGGTCACTACAACTGCCTTTTCGTTTTCTGTTAAGCCATTTTAAGGGGAGGGTGGAGGCAATATTAACCATCCCCCTCTGCCTCCAGTCAACACCTCCCCATAAATGGATTTTCCTGGCCACCAGGAATATTAGGAAGTTATCGCTGTGGATCCCAGAGCTCAATAAAAGAACACCCACTCCCTGTTTTGAACCTTCTGGAGGTCCCCACCTCCACCCTTCAGCTGACACGCAAACACAGAGCCTTATCTGCCTCCTAACCCCCGTTTTCATTCTCTGTTCAACCACTTGGGAAAAGCTGGAAGACGTGGCACATAGTTTGGCAGGTAGGTCTGGGATGCAGGGGGCAATGACTGCTGACCGAATGCCCATTGTAACAGCGATGGAGAAGCCTCTGCCCTCCCCAAACGCTGCTGGACTCCCAACTCCCAGCAGCCAACATGCCCAGTGCTCAGGGTTGCGAGACTGGCATCCCAGATAACCCCCATTCCTGGGTCTGGATTCTCATCAACACAACACACACTGTGAGCCAAACACCAATAGTGTTGGGGGCTGTGTGTGTTTGGTTTGCTTTTTAAAACTCTGCCCCTTGGAATGGCTTGGAAAGGGTAGCGCTAATGCACGAAAAAAGGAGTCAGTATTACGATCAGCAGCGAAGGAGGGCGGAGGGGAACGCCGTGCTTCGGAGAGGCGGAAGAATCAAGCCATGATTCCGACTGAGAAGGGCAAGGGGAGAACAGAGGCACTAACCTGTAGCTAATTGCGACTTCCCGTCCTGCAGCTGCAAACATGATTAAAGAAACAAAAAATGACGACAAAACAGGAAAGGTGAAGCTGAAACGAATCCCTCTTTCGAGGAGGGAAGAGAAGAACTAAAACCCAGGAAGCTTTTGGAAATCCTGGAGGGGAGGAAAGGGGGTGGTGGAAAGAGCGGGAGGGGGCAAAATCAGAGGGGAGGGAGGGAGGGTGGCGGTGGCAGCACCAAGGGGGCAACGCAACAGGGTCGTGCACTGGGATGGCTTAGTGCCCCTGGGCAGGGAGGAGGAAGAGGAAAGGAAGAAGAGGAGCATCGCGAGGCTTCGCCTGCCTTTTCCAGTGACCAGCAAGCAAAGCCGACGGGAAGTTCTTGCCAGCAAAGGCAAGGCAGTCACCCCTGCGCAAAGCAGCTTTAATCCACTGGGGCTCAGGGTCCTATTCCTCAGCACCGCCAGGTATAATGCTGCTTCCTTGCCTTCTGCCCCATGGTATAACCCCAAACTGAAGGAGTTCATAAAAAACAGTAACAAGACACCCCACAACCGAGGTCCCAAGCCAACAGCAGAGACAGCTGCTTATAAATAAGGCTCCTTGCCGCCCCCCCCCCTCACAATCACAGCTTATTAAGAAGTGAGGCATTTGGGGGGGTGCACCACTGCTCCCACCCAGACCTCGGGGCGCTGATCAACCTCCGACCGCTGTCCCTGGGTGGCAGAGGGGCAAGGCAGAGCCTCCTGTGCACACACTCCTGCTCCCCCCCCCCAAACTAGTTCTCTGCCCCCACGTTCTGCCGGGCTTTGATGAAGGCCATTCCGTGGGTGCGGAAGTGAGTCTTGAGGTTGAGCTGGGTGTCGAAGCCCTTGCCGCAGACGGTGCAGGAGAGCTTCCCCTCTTCGGCCGGCGGGGAGCCTTCCTCGGCGTCGCCCCCCCGGGGGCTGGAGCCCCCCGCGTCGCCCGACCCCCGCTTCTTCTTGTGGGTGATGAAGCGGTGGCGGTTGAGGGAGACCTGAGAGGTGAAGCAGAGCCCGCACTCGCGACACTGGTGGGCGCTCTCCCCTGTCCTGTGCTGGGGGATGTGCTCCTGGAAGTCGGCCGCCGAACACGCCACGTAGCCGCACTTGCGGCAGTGGAACTTCCGGTCGCCCCTGGGGGTCTTCGAAGGCGGGGTGGTGCTGTCCGGCTCCTCGCTGCACGAGTCCCCTTCGTCGGAGAGCTTCCGCTTCCGGCCAGACGCCTGTGGGGGGGGGGAGTCTTTATTTTTATATATACAGTGGTACCTCGGGTTACATACGCTTCAGGTTACAGACTCCGCTAACCCAGAAATAGTACCTCGGGTTAAGAACTTTGCTTCAGGATGAGAACAGAAATCGGGCTCTGGTGGCGCAGCAGCAGCAGGAGGCCCCATTAGCCAAGCAGTGCTTCAGGTTAAGAACAGTTTCAGGTTAAGAACGGACCTCCAGAATGAATTAATTACTTAACCCAAGGTACTACTGTATACCGTATTTTTCGCTCCATAAGACACACTTTTTTCTTCCTAAAAAGCAAGGGGGAATGTCTCTGCGTCTTATGGAGCGAATGCGTGGTCCCTGGAGCCAAATTGCCCAGGAGCAAAAAGCAGATCATGCTTTTTTTTTTTTTTTGAAAGTGGGAAGTGAGTGTTGAAACAAAGCCCCTGATCGTTTGCCCGATCAGGGAGAGAGATAAGGGACGCTAGAGATAAAGGAGGCTGCCTGGGAGGGGGGAGGTAAAGACAGCAAACTTGCAAAGGGGGGAAACAGGAAGACTAAAGCAATAAGGAGAGAAATTAGAAGAAGAGGAGGAGCAAAAAAACTGCTCCAGCTAAGGAAAAGACACTAAGGCGAACAAGAGGGAAGGGAGTGTTGAAAGGAAGCAGCTGATCGATGGGATCAGAAGAGAGATAAGGGACGCTAGCGGAGGCTGCCTGGGAGGGGGGAGGTAAAAGCCCATGGATCCTCAGGATTTTTGCATTGGGTCATCCCAAATTCACCATCAGATCACATGTCTGTGGCCACAGCATGAACCACAAAAATCACACATCCACTGCTTCCTTCAGAATTTTTTCTTTCTTGTTTTCCTCTTCTAAAAACTAGGTGCGTCTTATGGTCAGGTGCGTCTTATGGAGCAAAAAAATACGGGGTGTTTGTGTGTATACACACACACACACACACACACACACACACGAGAGAGAGAGAGATAAGATAGATAGATAGATAGATGATAGATAGATAGATAGATAGATAGATGATAGGCTTGGTGTCTAGCATGCTGTAGGGCTGATCCTGCTAGCCATGGAAGCAAGAATAACATCATGAGCATCTTTGCTTCTCAGCGAATAAAAACCAAGAGGCAGTGGCATGGTTCTAGTCCTCAGGGCTGAGCAAAGGGGTGGTGGGGTAGACCTGGGGAGGTGTGTGGCAAAGATTCTGGACGCAGAGAGGAACTGAACCCTACTGGGCAGTACAATCCTGACCAGGTGCAACAGCAGGGATCATAGAGTTAACTCTGTTGTCAGAATGGCAGCCCATGGTCCGTGTAGCTCAGCACTGCCTGCAGTGAGCGGCAGTGGCTCTCCAGATTTTCAGACAGGGAATGTCCCCTGCATGCCAGGCAAGGGCTCAGTCACGGAAGAATCCACCCTCCCTCAAAATAAAAGCAAGATTCTAGTCCTCATGCAAGGAAATAGCAACATGGGAAGTGGTTTTGTATCGAGCCTGACATTTGCCACCCCCTGTACCTGCGAGTTCCTGGCACCCATGCGGGTGATCAGCACCTCTTGGCTGCGGGTCTCGTCAGTCACCTTGATGCCATGACGCACCTCAATGTGTTTCTCAAGGATGAGGCGGCTGCTGAAAGTCCGCTTGCCTTCTGTGCAGTACCTGGGGTAGGAGGAGGAAAGGGGGAGCAGTGAGAAACCAGTAGAGGCAGTGAAAGGGAAGGGAGGGAGGTTTATATCTTGATTTTATTCTGCGAAGCACCCTGAGCCCCTCGGGTATAGGGTGCTATATAAATTCAATAAATAAAAATAAAAATAATAGACAGAAGGCTGTTCTGGTGGCTGCATTACAAAGTGCTTCAGAAGTAGGCTGGGAAGAGAGGTGCAAAGCTCAGAGTGCAGACAAGGAGCTTCTGTTCCCCTTAAAAGATCTAGATCTGTAAGTTCATTGGGGCAGGGCCTGGCACTCTCAGCATCATCTCTCACCCCACCACTGCCCACTGTGTGTTCTGTACTTTTCGTCAGGACTCCCGTGATAAACGTAGCTGAGGGCATTTCAGAATTCTGCACAAGTTATGGGATTCACCTCGGGGTGCTGAGAAGTCTCAAACTGCTTCCAAAACAAGTTTATTGTCTTCAGGACGTGGTGGGAATACCTCCAGCGGCCTCCACTCCACCCCTTCCCTGTGCCATCAACCCTTGATAAAAATTACCTTGAAATCATCTAAAATCTTACCACCAGGGCAGCTGAATCAATTCCACAGAAGCAAACATAAACACATACTGCCTGATTTTGCAGCAGAGGGCGCAACACACCCACAGGAAAGATGGAGCATGTAGACACGGACACACACCACACACACACTCTACAACCTCGCCAACCAGCCCAGAGGCCAGGAGGATGGGCTCCTTCCATACCGGCAGGGGTAGACACGTTTGATGCCCTCGTGGTTCACGCGGACGTGTCTCCGGAGGCTGGGGTAGGAGCAGAAGGATCTCTCGCACAGGTGGCATGGGAACTTCTTTACGCACTGTGGGGCGGGGGTGGTGGGCAGGGGAACACAGAGAAGCCACAGAAAGAAACTCAGGTCAAAAGAAGTGCAAACGCCACCACCAGCATCAAAGCCCGACCCTTCAAGTCCTCTAAACCCTCAAGTCCTCTAAACCCAGCATCCACAAGCGTAATATTTTTTGCTGCAATTCTCCCCTCTGCTTCCATCCCACCCCCTGTAAGCTCTTGGAGGGGCAGAGACCTGCCTCGTACCTGATTCAGTCCAGTGTAAAGGGGAAGAGGAGAGTTGTGACCCTTTTGAGGTATCCCCCAGCCCCTGGCCAAATCCTGTGCGACTGCCATAAAACTTAGGGAACAGGCTGTACTACCAAAATGATTAAGGTTTCAAATGACAATTTTAGGTTATATTTTAGTGATCAAGATTTAATATATATTTTTAACTGCTGCTATATCTGAATTGTCTCTGTTATATCCAACTGCATTTCAATGTATTCCTGTTGTGTTTTATGATTTTCCTGATATTGTAAGGGAGTAAGTGGAACTGGTCTGTGACCGTAACAATAAAATTCTATCCCCAGGCCCCTTCATTTTCCTCCCGTGTCTTTTGAGTTTTACATTGTAAGCCTCCTCGGGGCAGAGACCTGTTCCTCTGTTCTTAGCAGAGCACACAGAGGGGCATGACATTATAGGAACGAATGCGTTTCCTCGGCCATGAAGTTCTGTCCCTTCTGCCTCGCAGGTGCCACTCAAGGTACTTCTCCCTGGGCCTTTTAAAACCAGAGATGCTGGTGACGGTCTCCCCACCCTTGCTATCATCCCACTGCTGCCCGCGGCTCCTCCCTCACCTTCCCGTGGATCTTCTTCATGTGCAGGACATACTCGTCCCGCTCCGGGAACCAGGAGTGGCAGATCCCGCAGGTGCAGCCGTTGCTCCGGGAGCGCCCTCCACTCTCTGACTTGCGCTGGAAGCGGCCCCGCTTACTCTTCCGCAGCTCCGGGGAGCTGGGCGGCTCCTCGTCTTCCGAAGAGGACGACGACGACTCCGAGAGCTTGGAGACAGGCGGCGGGGGCTCCTCTTCGGCCGGCTCCTGCTTGGGGGTGAGTGGGGCAGCGACTGGCTTCTTGGCGGGGTCCTCTTTGGGTTTCTGGGGCTGGTGGGTGCTCTGGCGCCGGGAGGGAAGGAGAGGAAAAAGGTTCAGAGAAGAGCAACAAAAACCACCGAGGGAATGGAGCGAATTCCCCTATGAAGAACAGGGGCAGCTTCTGAGGACTTTTCAGTTTGGAGTCAAGGCGAGTTAAGGGGCGAAAGGATAAGAGATTTATAAAATGATGTGCGGCATAGAGAAAGGCTTTCCTCTCTCTCTCATAACACTAGACCTCAGGAACGTCCAGTGAAGCAGAATGTTGGAAGATTCAGGACAGTCAAAAGAAAATAATTCTTCACAGAGCACATAGTTAAAGTCAGGAGGCCGTGATGGACAATAACGATACGATACAATAATCTTTATTGTCATTGTCCCATACAGAACAACAAAATTGAACAATCTACATAAGACATTCAAAACCCAACAAACTTGCTATCCCAACCTGGTTAGCCCTCTAAAAACTCTGATACCCTATTTCTAAATAAAATATACTCCCATATAGACCCCTTACACTGCGTTTAAAACCAAAATTGCATTTGGGTAGAAACTGTTTCTCAGGCGGCTAGTCCTAGTCTTTATAACCCTGGACCTTCTTCCAGAAGGCAGAAGCTGAAAGAAATCATTTCCAGGGTACACACTATCCTGCACTATCTCTGCCGCTTTCTTATGGCACCTGGAAGCATAGATTTGATCCAAGGTGGGAAGAGTGCACCCAATTATTCTCTCCGCAGTCTTTACAACATGGATGGCTTCAAAAGATTAGGCAAATTCATGGAAGAGAAGGGTATCATTGGTTACTAGTCATGCTGACTGTGCTCTGCCTCCATGTTTAGAGACAGCAATCCCAGTTGCTGTAAACTACAGGAGAGGGGAAGGGGCTCTTGTGCTTGAATCCTGTTTGTGGGTTCCCCGCAGACACCTAGTTGGCTGCTGTGAGAACGGGTTGCTGGACTAGACAGGCCACTGGCCTGATCTAGCAGGCTCTTCTTATGAGTCTTATGAGTAAGCGGCTGGACTGGTCAACATCATTTCCCAGCTTCATTTCATGGCTGGGCAGCAGGCGAGTGGAGGGGCTCTTTGCATGCAAGGCAGACGCCCTGCCAGCTGCACCCCTTCCCCAAAGTTAAGTCTCTCTTCTGAGATCTGAGCAGCTCTTGCTCACTCTTCCACCCTTATCTTTGTAAACACGAGGACCAGCAATTTCCCTCTCTCTTTTTTTAATGAAAGCTGCAGTGCTTGGGAGCCAGGATTTTGCAGCCAGTGGCCGTGAGGATTAGAAGGAATGAAAGCTATGGTTCTCAGGGACCTGAAAACAGCTATCATATTCCTTTTCTGTGCTGTTGCTGTGGTATACTGCAACACACATGCAGTTCCTGCCTAGAGTGCTAGAGTGCTGCGCTTACCTTTCCTGGGGCTGCCACCACCACCGCTGCTTCTCGTGAGTAGGCAGAGCGAGCTCATCCACTCTGCTCTCTGGCCCACAGGAGCACCAGGGCGGCAGTGGCAGAGGGAAGATGAGCAGTGCGGAAGGGCTGGCTCCAGAGAGGGGCTGCTTAAAATGGCACTCAGCCAGCTCAGCCCCGCCCAGCCCCCTTCCTGCTCTAGGCAGGGCAGGGAGAAGCCAGGAGGAGGGAGGGAGAAGGCACAGCCACAGTGTGTGTGTGTGGGGGGGGAATGGAATGGCACAGGGGGAAAAAGGGGCAGCCCAAACGACCAGAGTCCCCACACCGATCCACTGACAGTCCGTGGGCCAGATCCTGAAGGCAATTGGGCCTGATCCGGCCCATGGGCCTGAGTTTGCCGACCCCTGTCCTAGAGGGATGAAATCATTCCCTTCCCCCTGTTGGATTGATGGCTCATGCTACCCGTTCCCAAAGTAAGTGAAACAGCTCCCTCTACCGAAAACAGCCAAAGTGGAACTAGACCAGGTGTGAGGAAACAGGAAGTGAGAAATTACCGATTTCCCCTGTCCCCGTCCCCCCCCCACGACTCTTCCCCCTTCTGCCCCACAAGGCCACTCACCTTCAGGTGCTCCAGCATCGTACGCTTCTGGGCGAAAAGAAGAGGGCAGTCTGGGCACTTGAAGACGCTGACCCTCTGGTTGAGCAGGTGCTGGTCGAAGTGGGAGGAGAGCAAGGGCTTGTGGGTAAAGACCGTGTCGCACATGGCACACTTGAAGATCATCCTGGAGAGGATGAAAGGAAGAGGAGGGCTCTCAGGAAGGAACTGACCTGCTCTGTGGCACCAATGTCTAGGCAACACGATGACCATGTACATACGTAATAGACAATCTTTATAGAATTCCTTCAAATCATAAAAAGTTCAGAATGAAATCTTTAGTCTCAAAGTCTCTGAAAAACTTTAAATGAAGCGAGGTACCAAACTTTAAAGCGAGGTACCAAACTTTTATGAAGCATTCTATATCCACCCAGAACGCTGACGAAGAATTCTACGAAACAGTAGTCAATATCCGGAATCACTGTTCAGTGCTGGACATCATTGTTGAATACACAAAGCTTCGCAGCTTGTCTTCCACCGTACAAAGTTTGGTACCTCGCTTCATTTAAAGATTTTCAGAGACTTTGAGACTAAAGATTTCATTTTGAACTTTTTATGATTTGAAGGAATTCTATAAAGATTGTCTATTACGTATGTATATGGTCGTCGTGTTGCCTAGACGTTGTTGACGTTCTCTTTGCAACACAGGGGTTTGTTTGGATACTTATTGCTGCTCTGCGGCACAGCAGGAATCAGCCGGGGTGCAAGACAAAACAAGGACGCAGGAGGCACTTGCTGGGTCAGGCCAGTGACCCCTCTAGTCCTGCCTCCTGTTCTCACAGCGGCTGAGCAGATGCCTCTTTTGGGAAACCCACAGGCAGGATTCAAGCAGAAGAGCCCTCTTCCCTCCTGCAGCTTCCCTCCAGCAACCGGGATTCAGAGGCACCGCAGCCTCAAACTGGGGAGGCAAACGGGGAGCCTCTTCTCAGTGAATTTGGCTAATCCTGTGGGAGGGAGTTCCGTCGTTTTAACTATGCGCTGAAATGAAGCAGTGCTTCCTTTTATCCGTCCTGAATTGGGGTGTGGGACAAGGTGAGGTTCTGGCTGGATGCAAGGCCGGGTTCAGGCTTTGCTCTGAGGAAACCCAGAGCTTTGAAGTCGTTCCAGCAATGGAGAAACTGAAACCGACAAGCCCTTTTATAGGAGTAGCATCAGGTGCAGCCAGATTATTAGGGCCACCCGTGCTTCAATATGCTGTTTTGCTCAAAAGGGCCTGGGCTTCTCTAGGAGCCTCCCACTCCAGCAGAGGGAAGGAGGCTCAGGGCTTGCGCAAGGACACACGTTTGGCCCAGGGCGCCACTGCCCCCACCAACTCATCTGGCTGCACTGTCTCTGGGTCTGCATGCCCTTCCTGTTCAGGTTAAGAGTCTTTGCCTCTGTCACCTGATGAAGAAGGGTCTGACTCCTGGTCCCAAACAGGTCGGAGGGGCTGGGGAACGCTTGTTCCTGTGTCTCAGAAGGCCAAGAAGAAGCCTTCTACTATGGGAGAGTTTCATTTTTTGTTTAAACGATTTACTTTGTGCTTTCACCCTGCATTTTTACATTGAGAACTGCCCTGAGATCTTCAGATGAAAGGAGGTACATAAATTTAATTAATAACAATAACAATAACAATAATAATAATAATATAGACGTGATGGCTCTGCCCTGCCTCTATGGTTGTTTGGTTGTGAGTCACTTTGGGTTGCCTTGGGCAAGATAACGCGACTAACAAATTTAATAAATATTAAATTAAATTAAATTAATGCTTCTGAACACCAACTGCTGCTGTGCTTGGGTCCTGTTTCTGGGCTTCCGATTAGGGCATTTGGTTGGCGATGCTGAGAACAGGATGCTGGACTAGATGGGCCCCTTTCTGGCCTGATCCAGGGGTTTTCTTACATCTTCTTGTGAAGATGATGGGGGTTAAAAGTCCATCATCTGGAGGCCCAAAGGCTCCCTCCCAATGATCAAGCCCTCCTTCCGCTCTAGTCACTTTTCTGACAGACACAGAGGGTTGTGGCCAACTATGTCCCACTCACAGTAGAGTCGTGCCCATTAATTTCAGTGGGTCAGCTCTGTCGCTAGCACTGGACACAACCCAGACAAACACACACACACACACACACACACACACGCCATCTCACTTGGACTGCTGGTTGCTGAAGCCTGGGTGCTGGGTGTAAATATGGGCATGAGCGCTGGGGGCTGACTTGAACGCCATGGGGCAGATGGGGCACTTGTGGAAAACCTCGCAGTGAGACGTCTGGATGTGGGACTTGATGGAGTTCACTCCGCCAAAGACGACCGAGCAGCTCGGGCACCTGAGGACGAGAACCGGGAAGTCTTACTGATCAATACACCTAGCTGCCCATCACTAAAAACATTCCCTGGGCAGCTTACCAAAACAAAACAATGATTAAAACTGCAACACGTGAGAATTAAAATCAACAATAAAGGCGTAAAAGGTTGCAGCCGATGCTCAGAGAAAACCCACTGAAATGAATAAATCTGAGACACTGTTATTTATGCATGCCAAATTATATCCATTTTGATTAAACATTACGGTTAACGTAGTAATACTTTTGGGGTGTTACAATGTTTTGAACAGCTTTGGGTACCAAATTTGTAGAAAACGTAGTCTATAAATAAAATAGTAATTAACAACCTTCATTGACGACAATGGGTCTGCTCTGCATTGGAAAGACCCTAAAGGAAAATATTCCTAGCAGTGAGAGGTGGCAGCCTGGTTTCAAGACACACACACACACACACACACACAGAGAGAGAGAGAGAGAGAGAGAGAGAGAGAGAGAGAGAGAGAGAGAAGGAAAAGGCATTCATTTTTGCTGACAAGACCACACAGAAGGTGGCGCCTGAGCCTCTCTGGGGAGGCTGACTGAAAAGCACCTCTCCTTGGGAGCTACCTGCCTTCCTTACTTGGTGGAAATGACCAGAGAAAGCTTTGGAGGGGGGAAGCAGGGCCATTCTATTTCACAGTAAAAGTTGGCATCCCAAGTTAAGGACTGGCTGAAAAAGCCCTCCAAACAGTATCAAAGGTTCTCGCAACCTTCTCCAGGCTCCTGTGGCAGGAAAAAGTTCTTAAGAAGACAACCACTTCCAAGGCCATAAGCTGGAAAATATGGTGTGATGGCAGCTGAGCCCCACTTCCTGAGTTCTACCTGGATGTTGGAGAAAGGGGAAAAGGCCCATCCTGCCAGGTCCTGAACAGAATAGATGGCTCAGCCTTCCTGCTCCCCCTTGACAAAAAGACAGAAGGACCAGGGGGCACTGAGTGGAGATGATCTGAAGGCAGAGGAGGCCTGGGCCCGGTAAGTGAAAGGAAATGAATGATAATACAGTGATACCTCGGTTTACAAACTTAATCTGTTCCAGAAGTCCATTCTTAAATCGAATCCAGAAGTCCGTTCTTAAACCGAATCCATTCTTAAACCAAGGTGCGCTTTCCCTAATGAGGCCTCCCACTGCCAGTGCCCTTCCACCGTTCAGCTACCGTTTGTAAACTGAGGTAAAGTTCACAAACTGGAACACTACTTCCGGCTTTGCGGAGTTCATAAAGCGAACAGTTCTTAAACAGGACTGTTTGTAAACTGAGGTACCACTGTAATAATAATAATTGGTGGCTACTTGGGAACCATATGTACAATGCCACCAGGCTCCATGATGGAAGAAAGGCATGAATAAATAAGTAAGGGGGTGGAGGAAAGAGCCAAAATATTGAGCCAGCATCTTAGGCTTCAACGCCACCCAGACATGGAACATACAATGATCAAAAATGGGAAGCGGGAGCTACAGCAAAGCTTGCTTAATTCTCACATCACCATTTTGACCTCCACTCCATGGATAGGTAAAGGTAAAGGGACCCCTGACCATTAGGTCCAGTCGTGGCAGACTCTGGGGTTGCAGCGCTCATCTTCCTCTATAGGCCGAGGGAGCCGGCGTACAGCTTCCGGGTCATGTGGCCAGCATGACTAAGCCGCTTCTGGCGAACCAGAGCAGCGCACGGAAACGCCGTTTACCTTCCCGCTGGAGCGGTACCTATTTATCTACTTGCACTTTGAGGTGCTTTTGAACTGCTAGGTTGACAGGAGCAGGGACTGAGCAACGGGAGCTCACCCCGTCGCAGTGATTTGAACCGCCAACCTTCTGAGCGGCAAGTCCTAGGCTCTCTGGTTTAACCCACAGCGCCACCCGCGTCCCATTACCACTCCATGGATGCACCACTCTGAAATCAGGGGTGAGTGGGAAAAGCACTCTCAGCTTGGTCCCAAGTTCAGATTCCTGTGTCAGCGGCCGAATCATTAAAACAGGAATTAACTTTATCCATGCTGGGCGACAGAGCTAAAAAAAAGCGGGGGGAAGGAGTCTACCTTTCGGGTTTCCACTCACACTCAAGACACCCCCTACCTGTAGCCTATCCTCCGGGAGAAATGGAGGCAGGCTTCCTTCAGGTGGGCCTCGAAGTTGGCCAAGAGGAAGTTGCCCCCGCACTCGGGGCAGACGTGAGGCGGGCGGTTCTTGTGCATGCGCTGGTGGGCGCCGAAGCTGCACCGGTTCGGCATAATCATAGGGCAGGCGTTGCACACCTTTGGGAAGGAGCAAAAAGAACGGTTAGTTTACGTTGGATAAGGCAGGCAGGGGGAGGGAGGGAAGGTGTAACGAGTGCTAACTCTGCCACTGGCAAGGAACTGCAGAAACGGTGCCCTGGAATCAGGGCTTTGCCAATGAAAGAATGGCAGCTGGATGCCAAATCACCTGTTCAATCCTTGTTGCCTCCAGGTGGGTCTAGGATTGCCCTCTGCCCAAAACCTTGCAGAGCCGCTTCCAGTAAGTGAGGACAAGACTCAGCTGAAATGGGGAGGCAGACTCTCAGCCTGACCTACCTCCCGGGGTTGCTGTGAGGACAAGATGGGGGGGGGGGGGAGAGAACCCACATACACCATCTTGAGCTCCTTGGAAGGAAAAAGTGGATCCACCCCCATCGTTCTGCCCGGACACTGAGGTCCAGCGCCAAGGGCCTTCTGGCGGTTCCCTCGCTGCAAGAAGTGAGGTTACAGGGAACCAGGCAGAGGGCCTTCTCGGTGGTGGCACCCGCCCTGTGGAACGCATTCCCACCAGATGTCAAAGACAACTACCAAACTTTTAGAAGACACCTGAAGGCAGCCCTGTTTAGGGAAGATTTTCATGTTTAATAGGTTATTGCATTTTAATATTCTGTTGGAAGCCGCCCAGAGTGGCTGGGGAAACCTAGCCAGATGGGCGGGGTATTATTATTATTATTATTATTATTATTATTATTATTAAATGCAACATATAAATGTCACAAGGGCTATTACACGGAAGAGGGAGCAAGCATGTTTTCTCCTGTTCTAGGGGTCAGGACTCAAAGCAATGGCTTCAAGTTGCAAGAAAGGAGATTCTGACTAAAAATTAGGAAGAGCTTTCTGACAGTGACAGCTGTTTGACAGTGCAGAGGTCTCCCTTGGAAGGCTGTGGACTCTCCTTCCTTGCAGGTTTTGAAGCTGAGGGTGGGTGGCCATCTGACATGGATGCTTTAGCTGTGATTCCAAGATTGCAAGGGGCTGGATTAGATGGGTCCCTCCAACTCTATCACCCTATGCCAATAATAGTAACAGAATACCACCCTGACGGCGTTCCGAGCGCCCTCACCGTGGAGGCGGAGGCTGTGGCTTGCTGGAAGTGGCCTGCGAGGCCGGCTTTGTCCTTGCAGGGCTCCTTGCACTCCAGGCACTGGCAGGAGTTGGTGGTGGCCTGCTCGGCGCTGCCGTTCAAGGGGAGGACGGGCGGGTCGTGCGTGGCCGCCCCGCTGGCCGTGCCTTCCTGGGCGACGGCGGCCGCTGCCGCGGCCTTGCTGGCGTTCAGGGAGGCCAGGGAGACCAGCGGGGTGATGTCGGGCTGCCCGATCATCTGGTCCAGCGCGATGGGGCGCATGACCAGGTGGGAGCACTGCATGACCAGGCCCTTGTCCTTGTGCTCGCGGGCGTGGAGGAGCAGGCTGCACTTGTTGAAGAAGACCAGGCGCTTGGTGCAGTGGTTGCAGGTCACCTCGATGCGCATGCTGCGCCGGTCGTAGTGCCGCGCCAGGCTCTTCTCCAGGGCGAAGGCGTCTCCGCACTCCAGGCACCGGTACCCGAGCGGCGGGAGGGTCAGGCTGGAGTCCGCCGGGGGCGCCAGGTTGGGCTTGTAGATGGGCAGCAGGTTCTTGCTGTTCAGGATCTTGTTAAAGGCCTCCACCAGGCTGGACTGGCTGCGGGAGATGACCGTGCCGGCCACGGTGGGCGAGGACTTCTGGGACTGCTGCATCACCACCACCGTGGTGCCGTTGACCTTCTGGCTGGCGCCGCCCGCCTGGGCCGCCGCCGCCACCACGCCAGCCTTGGGGAGGGCCTGCGGCACCAGGCTGACGATGTTCTTGGCCATGGCCTTGCTGGGCAGCACCACTGCCTTCTGCTGGGCCACGCTGGCGGCCATCAGCATGGCGCTGCTGGCGTTCTGGATGGTGGAGACGGGCAGCACCGTCCCTTTGATCTTGGTCCCGTCCCCCAGCTGCACGCTGACCACTTTGGGCCCCTCCACAACCTTCGCGGGGCTGGCGGCCACCGCTTTGGGGCTGGGAGGCCCGGCGGCCCCTTCTTCCTTTTCCGCAGAGGCGGGGGGCACGGCGTCCTCGGCGGGAGCGGCCTCTTGCGAGTCGTGGTCCGAAGGCGGCTTGGCGGCTCCCGGCTCCGTGTCGGAGGAGACCCTGGTGACCGTCCTGGTGATGCTTCCGGTCGGAGTCTTGATGGTTTTGATCCTCACTTTCAGGGGCCGCGAAGAATTGGATGAGGGGGAACCAGCACTCTCGTCCTCGTCCTCTTCCTCACTGGACGCATCCGGCGGGCACTGCACAGGCTTCTCAATGGGCTCCTCCTTCAGTGTCCCAACGCTGGAATGTTTGGGGGAGGTGGAGGGCCCGGGGCTTGCTTCTGCCTCTGGAGGAGAGCTTTTGAAGAGTGAGTCCCCGGGGCTGGAGGGAGAGCGCTTGACCTCTGGGGTGCCATGGGAGCCGACGCAGAGGTTTGCGTCTGAGCCCGGCCAGGGTGCTATGGGGGAACCGTCTGTAGGGTAGCAAATAGAACCGGGCTTTGGGCGGCCCAGTGGACTGGCCCCCTGGCAGGGCGTCTCACAATCGGATTCCTGTTTGATGGCTGGGGGCACCGGGGGAGCAGCAGGGGTTGGAGGGAGGCCCACACCTCCGCCGGCTGGGCATCCTTCAAAGGACTGTGGGAATGTTGGAGGGAGAGGCCCTGCGGCCTCCCCTGCCGACAGCTCGTGGCAGGCCAGCGGGGGGACCGAAGGAAGCACGTGGGGCGGGGAGAGGGGACCCCTTCTCCTTGGGCTTGCATTCTCGCGGCTGGTCAATGAGGTTTGCCTCACTGTCCTCAGGTGGGTCGGGGCTGAAATGGGAAAAGAGGTCCAGGCTTTTGGCCCCCTTTTCTTTGGGGGTCCAACACTCTCCGTTGGCGGTGGCCACCCCTTCTGTGGGGCGCGTGGGGGAGGAATGGAGTGCCTCGGGGGCAGAGAAGCCGTTCTGCAGCAGGCGCGGCCCGACGACGTGGCTGTCTTTGACGCGTCCGTCCACGGGCTCCAGCTGCTCAGGGCAGACGGTGTTCTTCACGATGACGCTGACCGTGGTGATGTCGGCGTGAGGGAGGACGTGTTCGGGGACCACCGCCTCCACCGGGATGGGCTTGATGTGTGCCTCCGCCTCCTCGTGGATGGCCTCGTTGGTGTCGATGTCGGGAATGTCAAAAGCCGCCAGGAGGTCGTCAAAATCTGGGGTTTTCATGTCCCCCATGGCGAAGGATTCAGAAAGCTCTGGAAGGAGGGAAAGGAAAACAGTTGCTCTTTCGTAGAAAGACAGGTAGCTCTCATGTTCAGAGACTTGGGTCCATCTAGCTCAGTAGAAGGTAAAGGGACCCCTGACCATTAGGTCCAGTCGTGGCCGACTCCGGGGTTGTGGCGCTCATCTCGCTTTATTGGCCAAGGGAGCCAGCGTACAGCTTCCGGGTCATGTGGCCAGCAGGACTAAGCCGCTTCTGGCGAACCAGAGCAGCGCATGGAAACACCGTTTACCTTCCCGCTGGATAAATAGATACCTATTTATCTACTTGCACTTTGACGTGCTTTCGAACTGCTAGGTTGGCAGGAGCAGGGACTGAGCAACGGGAGCTCACCCCGTCATGGGGATTCGAACCGCCAACCTTCAGATCGGCAAGCCCTAGGCTCTGTGGTTTAACCCACAGCGCCACCCGTGTCCCTCTCTAGCTCAGTAGTATTGTCTAAAACAATATTTCCCAAACTTGGGTCTCCAACTGTTTTTGAACTACAATTCCTTTAAAAAATATATATTTATATTTCGGTTTTTCAAAGATTTACAGACATACAAATTACAAAAACACAAATCACATATATTTCTAATACACATATAACTGACTTCTCCCCCCCCCTTTGTGGTTTCTTTTTACTTTAAGTTTTCATACTGCATTTTCCACATTACTCCATCTTTAAGTTATTATTTAGTTCCTCTTAATAAAATATTTAACTGTTGTTTTACATTAACCCCGCTAACGAGCTTCTTTGCATACATGTGTTTTTCAAATATTCCACAAAGTCTCATGTGGCTGTTATCGGTTTGGCAAAAGTCACCCTTGTGCAGGGACATCCCTGATTGTGGCATTGAAGAAACTAAAACTAATTAAAAGGAAAAAGCTGCGTGCTTGGACATGACCCTTTCGGCGTGTGGAAAGACGCACACATTTTAAAAAATGGCAAGCGGGCAAGTTTCAGAGGCAGAGCTCACGCGTAATGCGTGCCATGGTTTGCTTCATTCGAAACTGCGGTGCGAAGCGACGGTTTGCTTATTATGGCTTACCAAATGTGGCTTATTTGGGGCAAAACATGGCTTGATGGCCGGTTAAAATTTGCTGCTGCTCCCACCGGCTAGGGAAGAGCGAAGAATAGGCAGTGATCTCAGCGCCCACAGTAAACCATTAACTCTGGTGAAGTGACAATTGTTCGGCTTTCAAGAAGGAGAGTATTTTGCTTTCAAAGGGAATGAATGGGGCAGGCCCTGAGGGGCTGGTACTTAACCTGAAACTTTTCTTAACCTGAAGCACCAGCTAATGGGGCTTCCTGCTGCTGCCGCGCCGCCGGAGCCCGATTTCTGTTCTCACCCTGAAGCAAAGTTCTTAACCTGAAGCACTATTTCTAGGTTAGCGGAGTGTGTAACCTGAAGCATATGTAACCTGAAGTGTATGTAACCTGAGGTACCACTGTGCATTTCTATCCCACCTTTCCTCCGAAGGTGGTGCACACAGCTGCCCACTTCTTTTTTAAATCGTACAACAACCCTGGGAGGTAGAGATGGCGACTTGGCCATGGCCAAATGGGGATCTGAACCCCTGTCTCCCAAGTCCTTGGCACCCCCACGCCTGAAGATGTGTTATTGAAGCAAGATACAGTTGCTGACAGAAACCATAGAAAGAAACCTCAGAGCAAAAAGCCAGGAATTCAAGATGGAGACGGGCTTGCTCAACCTGATAGCAACCTCGGCAAAAAAAAAGCAAGCCCACAAAGGAACGCATCACAAAAGCCTATTTTGCTTCACGCTTTGGTGGGGACAGAGATATTGCTTCGGCGAATAAACAAGCCAATAAATATTAATTGTTTTTTAAAAAAAACCTCTTCTGTTCCGTGCTTCGGCGACTAAGACACTGAGGAAATCTTTCTCAAGTCAGAGAGGTGGCATTTTTGCTGAAGCCCTTTTTAAAAATATTATTTTAGTTAGTTTCTGGGTTTCTCCAATTGGAAGGGTTATTTCAAGAAACAGCTATTTTGAAGAGAGAGAAAGGGTGGCGGTGGGGAGACGGCTTTTCCTTTTCCTTTCCTGACCGACAAGATATTTTCTTGCACGTATGTTTTGCTTCTGAAAGGAGAGGAGATATAGGCTCAATTTTCCTCTCAGACAAAGCTTTCCCTGGGCATGAACTGGGGAAATGGCCTCCCAGACCCGTCTGTCATGGAGGCCAACTGAAACGGCTGCTTTGGCAAGAACTACGTGACACGAAGGGATCAGCTTCTGAGGGGGAGAAGGAAGGGGAGGGAAAGGCTTTCACAAGAGGCGGACGGCCGCGTCTCCTGTTGTCCCAGGCCAGGAGAGCGTGGCTCACGATGAAAGGGAACGGGAGGCCTAGGACAAGGCCCAGACCAGGCCCCGGAGTAGGAAGCCGCTCCCCTCGTCTTGGCTTGCCGCCGGCATAGCAGGGGAAGCTTCCTCTGGGCAGAAACGGAAGAGGAAAGGCTTCTTCGCCTGGTGACGTTGCAGCAAGTCAGGCTGCTGTTAAAAGTGTCGAGGGGAAGAAGGCTGAAGGGAAAAAAGATGGCCGCCCTCCCGCTCCCTGGCCACCCTCCGCTATTTCAGCCTGACTAAACTACTTTAAAGGAAGCCCTTTTAAACAAAATGTTTTGCTGCCTGAGGAATAGGCCAGGGGTGATTTGGCGGCGCTTCCAGGCAACCTGTTTTATTGAGCATAAGGGTAGTCTACCTTCCCCCACCGTGACACAGGTTTGTTCACACATGACACCGAACACAGGCGCAAGTCTTTGCATGCGCTGACTGCGTGCACAGCTACACATGCGCACGAAAGCTTATACAGTGGTACCTCTGGTTGCGAACGGGATCCGTTCCGGAGCCCCGTTCGCAACCTGAAAGGAACGCAACCCGTGTCTGCGCACGCGCGGGTCACGATTTGTCACTTCTGCGCATGCGTGTGATGTCATTTTGCGCACCTGCGCATGTGCAAGTGGCGAAACCCAGAAGTAACTCTTTCCAGTCCTTCCGGGTCGCCGCGGGACATAACCTGAAAAAACGTATCATGAAACAAACGTAACAAGAGGTATGGCGGTACCCAGAACAAACTTAGCTGGTCTCTGAGGTGCTACTGGACAATTTTTTAATTTTTTAAATTTCGAATCACAGTGCATTACATGCGAATAACTGTACGAGTGTGCCGGTCGACTCTCTGGTATGCAGGCACACTCACTGAATGTGAACATCGCCAGGGAGACCATCCAACAGGTGAAGTTCACCTCTTTACAACTCTTCTGCCAGGAAGGGGGAAATAAAAGGAGGCAACCCCAGCTGGCCCTGATGCTGTCATTAAAAAAATAAAATAAAATGCAACAAGGTTCAAGATTCACACAAACACGAAGACTGCTTGATGATAACGACGCCCTTTGTGTTGCAGGGAGTTGGAATAGATGACCCCCGGGATTCCCTCCCAACCCAACAATTCTATGATGCAGGGCTAAAGGTAACGTTTGAATATCCAGCGTCACAGATATGATTTGGTGGGGGGTCCTTGAGAGAAGTGAGAGGGAGATGAGTTATAAAGAGCAGCACATCACAAATCTCCCCCTCCAAGATCCATTTCTGACATACCCCAACCTGGAACTGCCAGCCAGCACTCGCAAAAGAAAAACATAAATTGTGTCCCCACCGACAACACACAACTCAGTACAGCTAAAGGCCACGCATCCCGCACCGTCAGAAAAGTATGGTATAGAAATTTAATTTTTAAAAAATCTGTGGCCTTTTTAACTAGGGAGGGGGTGTACTGTTTTGTTTGTTACTGCGTTCTGTATTTTTGTGTTTTTCTACTGTAAACCGCCCCGTGATCCTAGGATAAAGGGCGGTATAGAATCTGAATTAATAAATTAAATAAAGTAACATGCTACAGGTCCCTAGACTATGCCACGTTGAGGACGCCAGGTAAAGAGCCAATGGTTCTTCGCAAATCCATTGTGAAAAGTCAGCATGTCAGTACAAGGTGTAGGTCTAAAAAGAGAAATTTAAACTTGGGCGAACATTTGTTCTCTGCCACCCTAGTTCTCCGATGTTATAGTCCTGCGGAGAAGCCTGGACCTTATCATTGCCCCCTAAATATCCATCTCTAAGCATCTAGCTTGTGGGTTATCAGTCTTACCTTCCCAAAAGCACTGAACACACCTTAAGCGCCGGACAGTGCTCCTTTTCAAAATGGCACCTTTTAAAAAAAGAAGAATTAAGTCTGAACTTGGGGACGAGAGCAGGCCGATCAGCAGGCAGTATAGCAAAATGGAGCCCCCATGTTTTGTAACAGTGTACAGTGGATGCTCGGGTTGCGAATGTGATCTGTGCGGAAAGCACGTTCGCAACCCGCAGCACTTGCATCCCGCAGCGCCCCATCTGCACATGTGCAGGTTGGTGCTTCTGCGCATGCGCCAAAACTCGGAAGTAACCTGTTCCAGTACTTCTGGGTTCGGCATGGTGCGCAACCCGAAATCATGCAACCCAAAGCGTCTGTAACCCAAGGTATGACTGTACCTCAAAAAACCAGATTCTAGAAAGAAGCAGAGGACAGCCTGCCTGCCTGCCTGAAGCCACACCTATGGGTTTTTTTGCAGGTCACTTGAAGCACATGGCTTCACCCAAAGAAGCCTGGGAACTGTAGTTTGCGAAGGGTGCCGGGAACTGTGGATCTGTAAGGGATTAACTTCCACTCCCAGAACTGGTGGGTGGGCAGAGTGGGGTGGAGGGCGGGGAATGGGCTTTCCGTGTGCTTTGAATGCACTGTAGTCGCTGTTTCAAACAGGATGCCGGCTGGAAGCAGGTCTCTATTTAGGTCTAGTTTCCAATGCGCACTCAGGTTTCAGAAGCACACAGACACAACACCGGGCCAGGCAACGTTAAGCAGAACGACAAACTTCTCGCTGCAATAGGGGGGGAAAGCAAGAAGGGCCCGAAGGAGTATGTGGGGCAGATACTCCTCCGCCCC